GGCAAATGCTGGACCCATCCCAACAGTTCCCAGTTTTTCATCTGCACTCCAAGACTGAGTGATTAGATGGCAAGCATGTGGTCTTTGGCAAGGTGAAAGAAGGCATGAATATTGTCGAAGCCATGGAGCACTTTAGGTCCAGGAATGGCAAGATCAGGAAGAAGATCACCATTGTCAACTGTAGACAACTCTTAATAAATTTGGCTTCTTTTATCCTAACCACCAGACTATTCCTTCTGTAGCTCACATTAGCAGCCCCCTTCACCCCATCTATTCACAGTATCCTGTAATCTTTGTGCTCTTGCTGCAGTTCATTGGGTTTCATATTTTCCTTATTCCTCTTGCTGGACTGCAGAGTTAGGTTTATGATTATGAAATAAAAACTAAGTAACAAAAAAAAGGACTAAAAGGGTTAATAACCAAAGCCCTTAGAACAGTGATGTAAAGTGCAATGGCTGCATGATTTAGCTAAAATCTGCAGCCTCCTAGCTGGGCAATGGAACCGCCTTGCTGCTATTCCAATTATGGTAATGTTGGTCTTCTCATTAGTGCCACAGTACAGCACAGGGCTTTCAAAATAACTCAGGAAGTAGGAGGCTTCTTAACCTTTTAAAGAGGTCATCACCAGTTTTCTTATCACCCATCACCCATCCTGAGTCTAGGGCCCTAAGTTAAACAACATAAAAAGAAAATTGAAGTATCTAAAGATCTGAGTCATAGAGATAGGTGTTATACATATCAAGAAATGCCTATTATTTGATCCCCTGAGAGGTCTGACGTTGGTAATCTTGCCGCACCTACTAACTCACCCCTATAATCTCTTAACTTGTGCTGCTTTTCCTAAATGATCTCATCAAACACCCTGAACTTGATGATGTATAGAGACCTGAACCTCTCTCATTTTAGCTTGAGGTTATATACAGAAAGTGTCAACCTTGTAAAAGTTTCCACCTTGAAAGAATAAAGGCGTAGGAACAAAGTGGTTTCAAAGCAAGGATTTTACTGAACCCTTCATTACCAGCAACCCCACTCCCCTTAAGAAATTTACAGGCAACACTAAAGGCTGGAACCAATTTATCAGCGGTGTGACCCATTGTTACCTGGAAAACTCAATCCCCAATGCAACAGTACCGAGAGATGGGGCCTAATAAGTGGTGATTAGGTCGTGAAGTTTTTGCCCTCATGAATGAATTAATATCCTTATTGTGGGAATGGGTGTTATCTTGAGAGTGAGCTTGTTATAAAAGTGAGTTCCACCCACCTCCTGCCCTTCAGCTTCCAGCATGGGGTAATGCAGGAAGAAGGCTCTCAACAGATGTGCAGCCCTTGCCTTCCCAGCCTCCAGAGTTGTAAGAAACAAAATTCTTTTCTTTATAAATTACCTGGTTTGTGGCCTTCTTTCTACCATTTGACAATAACTCACAAGCTACAACCCTTCCACCTCCACAAACTTTGGGTCTTTTTCAAGGTCAGGTGTTACATTGATTGCAGTATTTGTGTACTTCTTAACTGTTTAACATGTGTAAAGCTGTACTGCCATTTTAAATTGGTTCCTATGTTTTCTAATGTTGCATTGACAAGGTTTGAGTGTGTGCCTGAACTCCATTTTTTCTATTGTGAAATCTGGCATAGTGTAATTATTTTTAGAAAAGCACGTCAAGTTACAGCAATACACAAAATGGGAGGGAGCAATAGCATCATCCCACTCGGGAAAGAAAGTACTATTTTCCTCCTCCATGTGAACTCATCTTCAGCTCTGCACTACGGCCTTCTCTGACCTCCTTTACATCAGTCCAAAATACTCTAAATGAAGTTTTTATATGGGACAGTATGAAGGTAACATTACCTACACCCATTCTTAATTTTATAACGATGTCTTTCTTTGGGGACCACTAAAGTTCTCCCTCTCCCATCAAGCTCTTTAAGTGCATTGTTTACATTCTTACCTCCAACTGAATCGTAGAGTTAGGAAAAGAGGAAACCAAACCTTGAAAATGCTCTTACATTATTTTATTTCTGTTGAGAATTTAACAGTAAGGGATATTTTACGAGGTTAGGTTTCAGTCATAAAGTAATTAAAGCTGAGGAGCACTAAAACAGAGAAAATGCCCTGAATGCATTAAGACTGATTTGCTGCAACATAAAAGCAGCACAGTATGTGTTTCAAAGATACTACATGTTGCAACTTAAAAGTACCCCCACTCACTAAGTTTAAAAAACAATTTTAGGTGAATGCAGAAATTAAAATTCTATTCTCACATATTAGCATGGTAAAGGATTGATGGTTAGGTGTATGTATCATCAATCCACAAAAGGCATAAAACTTCATATACTATTCCTGTAACCTTATGCAGAACTCTACTTTTTTGATATTCTGGATGCCAGAGGACTTTTAAAACTTCCCCCAAATTTAGTTCCAGGAGGCAGATGGAGACATTTTGAATGGTCTCATAAAATCTTAAAAAGCCCCTAAATCTGAGTTATGTTCATGCACGTGGTATATATCGAGTGGCACATTATTACTGGTGGATTGGAAATGCATACCTATTCTTGTTCCTTTTTGAACTAAATGGGAATTTGTAAGGACAAAACGCCCAAGAAATCAAGAGAAGAAAAATGGAAGGTGGAGAGTGGACAGATTAGTACATAATTTAGCAGCTTCAGGAAATGGAATTCCAAGACCCGTAATGGGGGGCGGGGCGGGGGAGGCCCAGGGGGCAGTGTCTTGGAAAAAAACCCCAGCAATTACTGACCTCTAGAGGTGGGGGCCAAATAAGGATTGGCCAAAAGTCTGTTTCAAGCACTCAAATCCTGGATTCTTTTTCCTACACTGCACAGCTCGGCAAGGGCCCTCTCTCATTTGGCATGACTGAGGTTTCATCCTCTAGAGAAGGTAAATGAGACTTTGGAATGGTAGACACATTTCTCTGGAATGGCAGGGGCGCCCTACTGCAGTGAAAGCAGCCCAACCCTCTTACCCTGCTGGGCATCTAGAATGCTGGCAGATAGCCCATCACCCTTAAGGCAGGTGATATGAAGAGAACTGACCCAGAATCAGCAAAGACCTCAAAATAATGACATAATAAATTCCCCAACTAATCCGCCAGGACAGGTTATTTTTTCAGTTGAGGTTATGAAACATTTGAGGAATGATCCTCATCATGAAAGATACAATTAAAAAGCAGAAGACAATCCAGTGCTGGGGGTGGGGGTGGGGGATGGGAAGGGGTGTCCAGGTTAGAAGGGAAACTTCCAAAAAACATTCTCAGAGGTAAGAGATATTGTTACAAATTATTTAGCTTGGAAGTTTAAAATTATATAAGTGAAAAACAGAAGGCTGGGAATACAGAGCTGAGAAAAAAAATTCCCAGAAAGTACAGCAATTTGGAAAACGGATGGGAGAAAAGTCAATGAAATCAAAAATTAAAATTTAGCCAAGTGTCCTCTCTCCTACCTATTGCTGCTAAAAAGTTGAGTAGTGACAAAGTTGTATGCACAGGTGCACACCAGGTGGTCTGTCACCATTATTGGTTTAATTAGACTTTGGGACTAAGTTTAATCCAAATAACATCCTACAAGTTTATTCCAAGATATTCTGCACTGTTACACAACCCTTTTTCTATTGCTGATGCACACTTTACCAGTTACAGAATTGCAAATACTTAACTTTTTAATTTCCCATAACTGATCCAGTGCTAATCCTCTGACTAGGCCATTAGCAAATGAAAAATCAACTACAAAGGGTTTTGACAGGCATAAGCAGTACTATGGTAGAACTAGGGTTTGAAAGACCATTTAACAATGGAATTGCTTTTGAAGCTGAAGTGAAATATACAGGTCAAGGGATTCAGGAGTAAGGATGGCTCTTCCCTGCTCCATTTAGTATGATATGCCATGACAACACAAATTGAGCATGTTGTGTAGATTAAGCCTTCTCCTAATCGACATATATAAAAAAACCTTAGTTTGACTAGTCCCAGTTTCCATTGTATAAGCCACAAATTTCTCAACTGTGTAACACTGAAGTCAGAGTGCCCTTTTAGCCTGGGGTGGTTTCAGTGTTCCTGATATCTACACTTGCTGGGTGAAGACATGCACTTAGAAAATAACATAGTATCCACTATCCATATTAAGCAAAGGAAAAACAATTCCTCAGTATGTTTAAGAGTAGGAACTGCAACTTTCAGTCAGAAAACTTTTCAGGTTAGTTTTAATTTATCCATATAGATCATCACACATTATCACAACTTCTTTATATTTAAAACACACCACACTTTATTTTTTTCTCCTGCCCCAAATTAGCAACACAGGAGCTAGGAAAAAACCCAATCCAAATAATCCTTGACTCAAATTTGACTCCAGTCCCAGCTGGAGGAAAAGGTTCCAGAAATCATACATGTATCTTTTGCTATCAAAATACAGCCATTCTTAAAGCTGGTAGCTAATGCTTTAAGTAGGTAGAGATAAGTGTCAAGCAAATATGAGTCAAGACTAGATTGTTTCTTATTCCCAGGCCAGGTTTATCCCCATTATGACAGTCTGCATACTGACTGACTTGCACCATACCTTTTTTTTTTTGCTTCAGGATGGAGAGAAATAATTCACAGGATTTATTTATAACTTGGATGCGGAAGACTAGAATTCTTTTGGTTTATTTTAATTGATTCCTGCTAGGCAGCTTAAGTGTGTCTACAATTATTGTGCTTTTAGGTAATACTGAGATTTACACTTTTTAAAAATCAACTAATTTAAGTAACAAGCAGCAAGCACAACCTTCCCCTAACCCCTACCCAAGGACAAAAGAGAATGGTTAAGAATATACTAAAGTCATCTTGACACCAAGTATTAACTACAGATGCCATTTGCATCCATATGCCAGGCACTGTAGCTAGGCACTTTTAAGACTAGTAATCTCCTTTAATACCCAATAATCTGTCAAAATTAGGTTCTATTATCTCCATTCTGCTATAGACAAGGAAACCAAGGCCCAGAGCAACTTGTCCAAAAGAATATAGATTTGATGTTTATTGAACTCTTACCGTGTGCCAGGAACTGTGCTAAGCACCTTACAACTGTTATATCCTTACAACCTTATGAAGTTGGTATTTCTAATACCACCATTTTCCATTTGGAAAAACTGAAGCACAGAAAGTTTAGGTGACTAGCCTATGTTCACGCAGGAAAGTAAGTGGCAGAGGCAGTATTTGAATCAGTTGGACTGGAATCAAAATCTACACCTTCAACTAACAGCCCCATACTACTGCATTGTCTAAATTACAAAGTGAATCTTTAAATTTATTGTTCCTTCTGGAAAAATACTGAATAAGAAAGGGTTTCCTATCAAGTCAGCCAGTTAACAAAAGTGTTCAAAAAACAAAAAGAGATGATTTTCATTTCAGCAGAGTTCAGAAGACTTAAAACACAAGTTAACAACTAAATATACTCTTAAAAACAAGGGAGAAAAAAGGGAATGAACAGAGTGAGGCTTTTCTAACATATTTGTATTGAATGGTATCAGGGTCCACATTTACTTGGAATAACATGTAGCTTAATTTATATAGATCTATTACTTCATTTAGTCCAAGTTTAAAATTGTTAAGAGGCTGCTGAATTAATGTGTCTAGAAAAGGTGGCCCTAGAAATATCTTAGTACTCACATATATGCTGACCTTTTATCAAAACCTTCATTGTACCATATAATTCCCAGCACCATTTTACCAGATTCAATTTACCCTGTAATAAATACGATTCTGAAAGAATGCTTGCAAGTTAATATGTGCAAAGTTAATACGTAAAATTTCACCCCTATTTCACGATAGAAGCCATAAAAGTAAAACATGAGGAGGAATAAAAACATTTTATCTGTGTATTCAGAATCACACACAAGTTACCTTACAGTTCAAGTTACTATATAGAAATCACTTGGGTTTTATATTTTCAGTTAAATTTTGAATTGAGAATACAGTATTGTAAAAAAATTGCTTTTACATTACTTCAGTACTTTTTTAGCATACCAAATTGAAATACATAGGTTCAAACTTCAGATTTATGGCAAACAGTCTTAAAATACAATACAGACATTTCTTAAAGTTACCATTATCATTCACATTTGCAACTGTGAGCTGTATCACACAGAACAGCTCCCCTATGGATATGGCAAAATTGATATGCCATGGAACTCAAGCCTGTACAGTCAAGTGAAGGACTCAAAGTTGTACCATCTTTAAAAAGGTTTGGCATTTCTGGACATCGCACAACATATAAAGAAGGTAAGGAACAATTCCTCCTCCTTATTATGATTTTTAAAAAGAAATTGCATGGTAGTTTGGAATTTTGCATAAAACCCCATATTATACCTTGAAAAAGTCCAAGGGCAATTAGATGACAATGGATTGGGGTCTTGTTTTTAATAGAATCCATGAAATTCAAATGGGCATTAATCAAATCAAAAAATATTAAGCACCTACTACTGGTTTAAGAGATTAAAATCTGAGATTCATGATCAATTTCTCTCCACCTTGAAATCAAGGTGTAAAAACCAGCTATTAAGTGCATTCCAAACTTCTCCTATGTAGTACAGGTAGAATTTTCTGTCCATTGGCACCAAAGTGAAGTCACATTTCCTCTTGGGAGACAGAAATTCCACATCTGAACATAGAGTAAGTTAGGAAAAAATGACCCCTGTTGTTTACTATTATTGTGATTCTGAGATCTACGATTACTAATATACTAGCAGTGAACAAAGCAAATTCCTGGCAACAACTGTCAGGTTAATGACATGAACTCCCTTCCCTAACACCATAAAATTTTAGTATGAAAAGCATTAAATGTAATTACTAAGATGAACAAGTGGGAAATAACAAGAAACTAAGGGAATAGTTCAAACTAACAAAAAAATCCTGAACTTGAAATCACTGCAATTGAGAAACTGAAGAAAAATGTGCTTCACCCCAACCCCTCCCCCAACTCTGAATTTAAATATTCCGTGCAAAAGAGCATCAAGGTTTCTGTATATAGATGTAGCCCTTCTTTAGGTTTTAGTGCTCTGCAGTTTTCTGCAATTTTACTGCCCTCCCCCCAAGTTTACTCAAAGTATTTAACAGAATCTTCTATTTCAGCCAAAAGACTTGTGATTCAAAGATTTACTAAGGTACTCTATGCATTCTATCTATACAGAAACACCTATTAATTATTACAATTGGTTTATGCATTAACATTTTTGGTGTTAAAAATCATGCTTACTGCACATCAATTCTCCATAATGAATCTCAACTTCACAATGACTTACCAAACACTTTACTTAAATTACTAATTAAATAACTGAAAAATGTACTGAGCCAAACTAAACTTAAATGGGCTACAAAAGAAAAAACAACCTTCAAAAACAGTTCATATACACATCTATTTCAAAACTACCTTTGCAAGTTAGCCCCTTTCCCAAAGTTTTAGCCTGAAAAAAAAAAAAAAAAACAGTAAAATCTACACAAAATTTTATTGCAATCATACAAGGGTTACATTAGGTCAAATACAACAAATACTATGATGCAATTTTACATTTATTAAACTACAGTTCAAAGCACAAATTTACACATTCTAAATACACTAAACGTATCTAATGAAGTCACACTAGTCTTCCACTGACATTTGATATATCTGGGTGAAAGACATTAACTTTACAAGACTTTTAAACACGAATCCTTAGTATAAAAACTGTGTACTTGTATGTAAACGGTTTAATGGGGAACCCAATTAATGGGCTTCCATCTCCACTAAGTCATCCATTTTGTTGCATATTTTATTTTAAACACTTAAGGGGTAGGACAAACTCGTAAGTTTAAATCTGGATACATTATCTAAATCTGCCATAACCCCCAATGAATTATAGATAAAAGCTGATTTTGTCTGGTCCCAAATAGCTATTACTAATAGTTTTTATTTCCAAAAGAGTTAACAGAATAAGATTGCTTGAATTTTTTTCCTCACACTGGAATGTAGACCAGACAAGTTTAACCTGCAACTTCAGATCTAAAGAAGCGTTAATGCCTGTTTAAGCTTCAGTGGAAAAGCTGTCTTCTTGGCTCAGCTGAATGCAAGAAGGCACAAAAAAGAAGTTCTTCATCATTGTGTCGGAAGTAATTCCAGCATCTTGCATCTCATACCTACATAAAAAGAAAAAATAAGCATAACTGAATTTAAGCCCAAAGACCACACACACAATGACATAACAAATAGACAACAAAACAGGACTAAAACTTAGTCTTCCAATAACCCTTAAAGGATTATCATTTTTTTATTAGTTGGAAGTTACGTATGTGTTATAGAATTCAAGTTATAAGCAAATCTGAAATATACCCTGAAGTATCACATCTGCTTTAAAATAAAATCACCTTACCAATCACTGAATGACATCATGTAATAAATAGCTGGCCTCTGAAAATCATTAAAAGCAGATGGTTCATGGAAAGAATCTGCTCCCATGTTATCAAAGATAAGCCAATCTCCCACATTCAGCTCAGGAAGAAGACAGCTTTCCACAATCTGATCAAGCTCATCACAGGATGGACCCCAAAGGCTGCTTGTAAATAGAGGCTCATCTTCCTTGTATTTCTGTAGAGAAGGAAAATTTTTTTAAAAATTAAGTTTTTACTCATGCAGGTAATGAATTTGTGGGTGAATAAGAAACATTTTTCACTATCTCAGATCTAATGTCCCCATGGCAGAAAGGCCTGGGAGAACCAGGGGCAGGGGTGCACCTTCTTAAGTTCCAGTGGTACCATTAACTCCATGTCAAGGCCGCAGACTACCATGCAATTTCTTTTTAAAGGAACTCAGAAAAACGCAAATACTCAAAAAAGGGCATTTTCCCCCATCCTAAAATATTTCTTTTAAAAATATGGAATGCATCTTTAGGAAACAACAGTTCAGTTTATAAACTGCCAAACAGGTTTTGAAATTATTTATAATAAAACTTGCCTTGTGAACCTCTGGAAGGGTATTTAAGTCCTCAGACAGTTTACTTGCAAAAGAACCATAAACACCATCATTCATGTAATACATGAAGGCTGGTTCATCACTTCCGGTTTTTTCTACTGAAATAAAACAGAAAAAGGGAAGATGAATTAATAGTAAAATGTCTAATATAGTTAGAATAAAAGGCATATCAAATAGACTGAGTTATATCTATAAAACTAATTAATGCCAATCTCACATTTCTCAAAACGTTTGAATTAACTAAAAAAGACTGATATATGAGTATACTGTATAAACATATCTTAAAACCATTAGCCTAAGAAAATTGAACACATACCCCACAAAGGAATTTAACCAGTGAGCACATAAAAAAAATACTTAAAGAGTACATCATCAGTAGTCACGTAAATGCAAATTAAAATTATGAGACACACCACCACACACCTACTGAGTAGATTAAACTTAAGGACTGACAATACCAAAAATCAGTGGTGGTGATAGGGAACAACCAGAACTTGCATGTATATACTGCAATGGGAAGGAAAATAGTAACAACCACTTTGAAATCTTTGAAAACACCCCTTCTGTGGCCCAGTAACTATTAGTCAGCACAATCAATACTCATTTTTTGGTTTTTAAAATAATGCTCTCCACAATATTAACCATGGCTCCTTGGAAAAACAACTGATTATAGAACTGAGGCACGGAAAGATAAAATGAGCCTGGAATATCTGGAAATTAAAAAAGGGCTCAGAGAATGATGGGGGGTATGTTGAAGGACCCAAATTTGGGACAATAAAATAATGAATTTAATATATAATCTACTGAATAAGTATCCGCAAGTCTAATCTAATATAAATAAACAAACAGGAGGGAAGAAAAAGCTATTCTTTTAAGTAAAGGCCACTAAGGTAGACTAAATAATGGAGTTAGAATTCATCAATATATGTTAAAACTAATGAAGTGAAAAGTCTGATAAGAAAAAACAGGTTATTTACACAGTTTCAAATTACTTTGCCACTTCACAATGGTGAAACCTGCCTGACACAACCTTAACTAAGTGATCAAAACTAGCATCAAAAAACAAAAACAAGGGCCAGGCCCGTGGCTCACTTGGGAGAGTGTGGTGCTGATAACACCAAGGCCATGGTTCAGATCCCATATAGGGATGTCTGGTTAGCTCACTTGGGAGAGCGTGGTACTGACACCACCAAGTCAAGGGTTAAGATCCCCTTACCGGTCATCTTTTAAAAAAACAAGAACAAAAACAAAAACAGAAAATCTAGCATCATCAATATTAGAACAGACCAATATCATGTATTTCCTAATATGATGCACTGAAAACAGTGTGTCTGCTGGATTTCCTGCCAAAATGCATAGCTTGAATCTAATCATGAAGAAGTATCAGACAAACTGAAAGAGGAACACCTACCTACAAAACTTCTACTCTTCAAAAATGTCAAAAGTAAAAAAATACAAAGCAATAAGCTGAGAAACTTTTTCCAGATTAAAGAAGAAATTACAAATGTAATAATGTGGTTCTAGATTGACTTCTAAACAAGGAAAAACAAAAAGCTGTAAAGGACAATATTGGGAAAACTGACATTCTTTCTGTGGACTGTAGATTAGTCCACAGTGAAAAAAAATAAGTCTCATTAATGCAAAACAATATTTCCTACTGCAGTGATACTGGTCAATAAGACAAACTAGTGCCTTTTTGTTGGCTTGACTTGACATGGATTAAAAGGACTCTTTGTTGGCCCTTGTTATGTAAGAAAGTATGGGGCAAATTCTCCCTGTGACTCATCTGAGGTAAGAGGAACATAACAGAGACCACAATAAAACAGTGGTTCTGAACAAGGGATGAGGATCAACTGTCTGGCAGAAGTTTATCTAAAACATGCACATCCAAACATCAGTACCAGAAGAGCTGGATTCAGGAAGTCTTATGGAATGGGACCTTAGCTACGGCATTTTGAAGAACTCCCCAGCTGTCTACGGCACGCACAACTTTATGACTGAGTATTCATCTCCAGACTAACTGAACTAACAAAAACAAAACTATAAGCTTTATAACTTACCTCCAGAGGAAAATTTTTCATTTTCAACAACTTTCTTTGCAATGATATTAACTGCAAGTGTAAATGCAGAAGACACATAGTAGCTTCCAGGTTCTGAAATTATCTTAATGCCAGATCCTTCAGGAAAATAGATATCCAATAGAGGGCTGATAACATGATTAACCTATAAATTTAAAATCGTAGATTATGTTTTCAATCTTGGATTAGAGAATTCACAATAGAACAGATTGGTAACTATTAATTAAATTTTCTAGGAAAATTAAGCAGTTCCAATTATAGACCATGAAGCTTAGCTATTTGGCAGTTATCTTCAAGCAAATTAATTAAGCAGGCCTTCGAATCAAAGTTTATTTTGTAACTACCAGAATGTCATTAATTTAAAAAAATACAAATACCTACCAGTATTTTTTTTTAAGTCTTTTTTTATACTTGACACTAGCAACAGAGGAGCAAAATTTAAAATCATAGTTTCTAGATATTACAGAATGAGGAAAGGAGAGTAGAGCAGAAAGGTGAGAAGGAGAAATGATGTGCACTTAGATAAAACAGCCTAAGTTGTCTAAGTTATGAATCTACTTGTGCCATCAAGTACAGAAACACATCTGAAATAGAAAATCTTCTGTGGTAATTTTTACAGGGTTTTAAAGAATTTTATCAAACTTTTCATAGTTAGCTGGTATTCTCACTGACTTCATTTTTCTTTGAATAGTTTTAAATATGTTACAGGCTTTAGCTTCTGCCATTGTAAAAATCCTGGTCTACACATCTACCATTTAGGTAGCAAAGAAAGCGATTATTTTAATATGCATACCCACTGAAAAAAGTTTACCTCTTCCAATTGAAATTCAGTTCCTGTGAAGCCTCCACCAATGTCTAATATGTTCATTTTAAAGCCGAATTCTCCCTAGAGATGAAAAAATATTTCAAATGCTTTTCCAAATTGTAATGTATATGAGGACATTTTGAAAACACCGTCAGGGACGTATCTATTTTTACCTTTGGTACAAGTTCTTTGGGCTTTACTAACAAACAGATTAACTCAATGTTATGTATATTGTTTCCCTGATCTCGTCTATACTCTCTTCTAGAAACATGAAAGTAAATTACTATTTCACTCCTTTACCCACTTAAAAAGTGTGACTGTATAGTCTTATGTACTTATAAAAAAATAAGGTGTGTGTCATATTAGGTGGAATAAGAGTAATTCACACCGGTAGAAAACAATACTGAATCTTAGTCTTAAGTAACAGCCTGGCTTAAAGTATCAAAATAAGGAAAGAACTTACAGCCATGTCAAATACACATCGAGCATCGGATAGAGCATGTACATATACTTGAGATTCTTTGCAAGCACTCGAAACATGAAATCTGAAAGAAACAGAGTAATAAATTTAAAGCAGCAGCAAGTTTTAGAGGCATTTCCTACAATTCCTTTCAAATATCATTCACCATACTGACACCATAAGTATTTCCATTAACTTCACCAAATATCAGATTTGGTACACACACACACCCCACCAAGTATTAGAAATACTAGCTTCGAATTATAGAAGTTAGCAGCTTTTCAGCAAAAGCAATGTTTGAGTAATACTGTTAATTCTATAAACAAACATTTTAAACAGCAGGTCAGTCATCAGTCATGCCCCATGGTTATAAAATAGGGCATGCGTTTATATATATATATAAAAAAATATTGGTCAATAAGACAAACTAGTGCCTTTTTGTTGCATATATATTTGGTGAAGTAACAAGCACCATCAATCCAACTGATTACAAAATCTTTAACTTGAACATTCAATTTTATCTGACAAATACAAAAATGTGTCTACTGTGAAATACAAATGAACATTAATTCAGCCAAGTAATAGTCATACTTGTTAGTATATTTATTAGTGACACAAAGCTTCAGAATAGAATACTTAAATTTAACTGAAATATAGTTCTGTATCCTGATTGTGGCAGTGGGCACACAAATATTAAAATTCATAAAACTGTATATCCAAAAAGTCAATTTTCTTGTATGTTAACTTGAAAAACAAAATTTAGTTGAAATGTGAACAAAACTCTCAAATATGTCAATATTGTCATCTAAGGGAGAATTAAAATTTTATCTAGACTAACATGGAATGTTATCTATTGTGTAGGATACAGCAAGATCCAATTTTTCATTAAAGAGACTACCACTTATGTTTATGTACAAAGAGATATAAAAAGATACAAGAAACTATTAACAATGGTGACTCCATAAATCTTTATGAACATTTTAAAAAGAAAAACCTTTACTACAGTGAGACTAGCAATAAAAGTGGCAACCCAGAAAATCTGGAGCTCAGTATGTTACTGTGTCCTTAATTAGTTCTGAGACTATGATCAAATCATTAAACCTCTTTGGGTCTCCATTTCCTCACATATAAAAACCAAGAGGGTAAAAAAAAAGGTCTGATTTATTGAAGTACATGAGAGATTAAGAAGAGTCTTTGGATGGTAAACAAAAAAATGAAATGACACCTGCAACTTAGAATTTGAATGTCATTTTAATATTCGTTAAAATTCTAGCAAATCCTCTCCATTCAATTTAAAAGAAAGTGATTTAAACTGCTCTTCACTAACCTATTTTATTATTTACTATTTTGTCTCTTTATTGGGGGGACAGTATAGTTGTAAAACAGTATTAAAAAGGTAAAAGCATATTTAGTTGCTTTTCCTAAATTAAGACGACACAACATGCATATTAAGAAAACTGAAAGAAGTTGAACCTTAGATTTCATGCAAATGAAATCTTAAATCAATAAGCAGAAAGACAGACTACCACTACAAAATAAAGTTTAAAACAAATACTTACTTAACCCCAATTATTTGGACATCAAGTTCCTTGGCACATTCCAAGAGATGCCTACAGTTCTTCATTGTAGTGCCAAACTTCATATTACCCTCTTCACCTCCAATATTATCTTCTGTTGCAATATGTAGTAAGACCCTAAGAGAAGGGGAAGATGATTGGGGCAGAGTTGGTTTACATCATCATCAGCACATGTGAAGCCTGAAGATTGTAGGAAGTATGTTGATTATGTTGCCAGTGCTCCCAAATCCAGCGACGGATGAATCAAGTGAACCTAGTGAGAAACAATCCTGTATAGAGAAAAAACTAGCAATTAGGGCCTAAAGCATGAAGCTTTCAAGGATGGGATTTTGGAAAATGCAGCAAGTTAAGACTGTTGCAGCAGCAAGAGTCGGTTGGGCTCTGTAATGAAAGACGACATTACTTTCAAATCAAGTCTATCAGTCCAAAAATACACCTAGAAAGACTACATTGAATAGCAATGCCATCACTGTCTTTCAATAGAAATGTCAGGGCTTAAAATGTGTTCAAATTTCCTAGATTGTTCTAATTTCTAACTGGAAAAAAGTGGGAAGCTTTATTTTATGTGTCTAAACAGCAGCCTTTAAAAGTCTACTGATTCAAATCCATTTGGTGTTTCCTTCCAAACAAACCATGACAACCAAGACAAAATGATCAAGACTGATTAAATTTCTCTATTATCAGGAGTTAAGTAATACAATCTGCAAATATACAAATACTGTTTGTAAAACTTTTCCCCAGGGAAGTCCTGATGCTCAGAGAGCAAGGCTGATATGGATCCTTCAGTTCACAATCTAATGCAGTAAAACACTCCAAATCAAAGCTTGTCTTCAGAAGATCATAGATCAGGAAGATTTTTTAGAAAAACAAGTGTTTCCCAACAATTTTCCCAAAAAGGCCTTAAACAAACAAAGGTTTTCGGGGTAATCAATACTGTCAGAATACCTTGACATCACACTAAAGTCATTAAGAAAATTATAGATATACAAAAAAAAATGGAACGTATAACTCATTAAAAGCCAACAATTTCATAATATCACAATTTACTTTTAGTATATTCTAAAGTCCTCCTCTTGACACACCAATTCCAGACAACATGAATTTTGCCTCAAAACTTTTTGCTTTTACAAAGTAAACTTCTTAATTAAAAACAAAAGTATCTCAGATGCATGCAGGTGCAAGTAAAAAAAAAAATTAAAACTTCACGATCAAAGAAAAGCTGAGGCTTAAAAAAGAAACCCCCTCAAATCTACTGACTAGGCTCCTCAGACACTGTTGCTAAGGACACCATTCAAGAACTATGGCCAAGGGTAGATTAAAACCCTTTGCTAAACGGAAAGAAGCTGAGCAAAATATACCCTGTCCTCAACATATCAAATAGCTAATAAGAGGGTTAATGTAATTATGAAACATAGCTGTGGCCCTATTTGATTAGAACACCATATTTTCTTCCTCAAGTTAAAAGATTACTAGATCATATCTCAAACTGCCTATATTTCATCCCAATTACACACAAAGGATATGAACTAGGCAGCCAATAAAATGCTATTAGCATTTTCCATACAGGAACTTTAAATGAGGTTAAGTTAGAATTACAATACACATCACTACTCTATATCATAAATGCCCCTTCTTCCTAGACTAAAGACAAAACCAACACCCTGAGGACTAAGATAATATTTAAGTACTTGGTTTTATACTTACTTGGCATTTGGGTGACTACGTGCAATCTTCTTCAATTCAATTTCATTGTCGCATGTCATGATATTAACTCCAACTTTTGCTGCATACTTTATCTGAGACACTTGCTTGCAAGGACTTATGTAAATAATGTTTTCTGGAGATACGCCCAATTCCTGCACTAAAGCCATTTCATTCTGTGAAAACAGATTTTAAACAGTGTCAGCTAAAAGGCAAAATTTCTATTACTTTTCATTTGGTTACTATCTTATATTTATTTTTTGGTTAAACCAAAATTATATGAGGTTAAATTAAGATAATGTAATGTCACAGTTCATATTCTGGTAATGCTTCCAATACTGTGTTAAAGACCTCTAAGAAGTACCACCAGAGAAATCTCATAGTTTAGAAATATTTGCTGTAGTCAGAAGTTGCTTGGTCTAGAGCTACCTCTAAGCCCTAGAATAAGGAACAAATAAAAGGTTTTGATTAATAACGATAAAGAAAGCTTCTCGAATGCTCACCACACTGAAACCTCCATTTCATTGCTACACTTGCAAAGTTTAACCATTATTTAAAAACTCCATCCAAAAGTCAGACACTCTTGCATTTGTTTTCCTACTGCTGTGGTTAATTACAAGTTAAGCTGAATTTTAAAATGCTGCAGTTTAGTGAAAAAATGAAAATACTTACCTTACTGGAACAAGCAAATCCAGTTCCAAGAGCTGCCAAAATCTCAAGTACAGCTGGAGTAGAGTTGCACTTCACTGTGTAGAATGGCTTTATCTGAGCCACTATATTCTGCCACTGACTGTGTTTCTTTACAATCTTTCCAAGATCTCCCACAAAAAAGGCATTTTTCCCTGTCTGTTATAGTTATGGGGGGGGGGGGGGAAACATCAAAGAACAAATGAAAAATAAGAGTAACATAACTAGAAAAGATCTCCCTTTTTCTTCTACAAATGAGCCAAGACTTACATTTACATATATTAGTACATTTAAAGCTTGTTAAGAGTAATTAAACTAGATCTAGTCAACATTAAAGGAGAATCTAAATATATTTTCTAAAAAAGGCTTTTTTCCCTTTTTTTTATAGTTTTGGGGGGGGGGGGGGGAAACATCAAAGAACAAATGAAAAATAAGAGTAACATAACTAGAAAAGATCTCCCTTTTTCTTCTACAAATGAGCCAAGACTTACATTTACATATATTAGTACATTTAAAGCTTGTTAAGAGTAATTAAACTAGATCTAGTCAACATTAAAGGAGAATCTAAATATATTTTCTTTTCAAACTTGACCTATTTTGCCAGTTCAGGATATATAAACAAAACTGCATCCCTATTAAAATTGTACCTTAAGACAAGATGGGAAAATAAGGGAGCAACTTCACTGGGAAACCATTTGTTAAGAAAGCAAGTTGTTAGTTTGTGTGCAGAGGAGATGACAAAACTAGATAAAGTACAAAGGTATACCAAACGTCAGATAAACCTGAATAAGGATACTCTTCCCTCAAAAGTAAGAAAACTTAATTTAGTTAGGGATGTGGAAGAGATGTGCAATGATTTTATGTAAAGTTGTGGCTATTCTAGAGTATAAATTACCCAATGCTAGATGGTAGGCAAATGTACAACATCCAAACATTGTTTGAGAAACCATAAAGACAATTTTACTGTGTTCTACTTTTTAACCCACATTATCTGAAAATGTTTATTATTGTAATATACTGCCTAGTTGATAAAATATCAATGGAAGTTACGGATTATGTGTGGCAGATTTGGAAGGGTTGTATTTATTAATCCATCGTACTCTGGAGACAGAAATTTTATATTTACTTTAATGAGAGAACAAACTAGGTATTTATGGGCAACAGTAAGAAAACTGGGATAATAAACAAGGTATTCATTTTTCTTTCAATACAGAAAAGAGAGATGAATTAGGAGGTCACTATAATGACACCTGCAGAGGCAGACTGAGAGAATGAGAATGGAAGAAGGGATGAACACAAGGACATTGTGGAGGAAAGACTAAGGCTAAGAGGGAAGACACGCAAAATGTAGAATGAGTGACAGAGAAAAATACAGAATTATCACCCTAGAGCCATACAATTAGGTGAGACTGCCAGAGCAGAGAACAGGGTTGAGGACTAACTCTCACCAAATGTCACTAAATGGTGGGGGTAATTTAGGATGTAGAACAAGGATTGATGAAAGGAACATTTCAAAGACCTTACTGGACCCAGAAAAAGAGTGTTACGAAAGTCAAAGAGGAAAGCTAAATTGCTAAAGGAAAGGTCACTAAAATTTTACCAGGAGCTTTTTGGGGACATGAAAGCATTATCTAAAGAATGACTCAGCAGGAATTGCTGGACAGAATGACAGGTGTCACTATTTTTCCAAGAAGTTTGATGGCAAAGGAAGAGAGAAATAAAGAGTGTTTGCTGGAGTGAGGGGAAGATTTAAGCTCATCTGCAGATTAAAGGCCAAGGAGCAGGAAAGAAAAGTTTTTCAGTATCCTATTACTGAACACCAGTAACATGAAAATAATTCAACAAATTTGGGGAATATGGGAAATTATCTCCAATAAAGAAACATTCTATCAGTAAATCAATAAACAAAAATACTTCTATAAGTAAGTCTAAAATGAAAATAACCTTAAGTAGCAGTGAATATGATTCTGTACAAGTTGACATCTAGGACAGTAGAGTAAGCATTCAGTATAAACTATCAAATTCTCAGTCAACGATACACAAGCAAGACTATCTCAAAGTAAATTAAAATCCACTGAAGAATAGAGTTGAGAAAAATGAATAAGAAGCCATGCACTGATTAGAAGATTGGCCGGCAACAAATCAAGAAAATAAACAGACCATACAAGAGGTCACATGCTAAAAGGCATAGCAGAGAAAGGGCTAATTATTAGGAAGCATTCTTTCTTTTAAATAACACCGACTAGAAAGAAATACGCATTACAATACTCAAGGAGAATGGGGGGGGGGGAGTTAAGACAACCTGGAAAAGTGAACATCTGAACCAAGTACTTTTATCAGATGAACAAATTAACAAAGCACTGATGCTTTTAGAATTCAGAAAATTATAAACATATTTGAGAAATCTAAGGTGGCACACTTACCAGGGTATGTTCATAAACATAGTTATCAATAACATTTCCAAGGTTTGTTCCTTCATCCAACAGGCCAACGGAGTAGTTTGCATCGTCAATAAATCCTTTCATCTCAGCCGTATTCCACAAAGCCGAAAGTCATAAACCAGGAAAAACAAGAGATGGGCCACCAAGCCTATGTCTGGGTCCTTAGAATATGCAACAAACTGTCAAAATAGAAGTTAAATCAAAGTCTGTATTATTTTCAATAGATATAAACATGATATGAGTCGTCAATGAAAGTGTGCTAAGTGCCTAATTTAGTGAGGAATTTATGTGATCACTTAATACTTTCAGAAATACTGGATCAATATCCTTTAATGCCCATTTTAAAAAGTGAATAAATACATATTTTATACATTAAAAAAACAACCTCAATATAATTTCTTGAGAAGATAACAATGTGTGTGCAATTACAAGCCTATATGGTCACCTTATTTACACAGAGATGCAGACCCAACTTTTTTTTTTTTTTTCCTTTTTGTCTTTTTTCGTGACCGGCAGCAGATCGCAACCCTCAGTGTCGCGCCCGTACCGGACTGGGACCGGCAACGGGATCGCAACCCACCGTGTTGCTCCCACACCTCGCTCAGCCAGTGAGCGGCCGGTCTGTATATGGGATCCGAACCCTTGGCGGGAGCGCCGCCGCACTTCCCAAGCGGCGCACTGTAGCAGTGCGCCACCGGGCCGGCCCAGCAGACCCAACTTGTATTATTCAATCTTGTTTTGTGTATCTTCTTTAACACATACAATTTACTTATTTTAAGAAAGATGGCGAAGTAACTATCCACAGCCAAGAAATTAAAATTCGATATACTGCCAGTCACATAACATAGCATTGCCAGTTAATTGCAGATAAATGTCTTGTAAATAAAATTCTAGAATAGGTGAAAGTAATAAAAATGGGTGGAGATGAAGGGCAGCTTTGGGGGATAATCTGCAGCTTTGATACCGACTGCCTAGGTCTTGCTTCAAGCTAAAATAGTATTAGCTACATCAAGTTAGCAATATAGGTCTTTTGTGAGGTGATTTGATTTGGTGTACTCACTAGTCTAGGAATCAGAAGACCTGTTCCTGACTATGTCATTTAGCAGTGTATAGATCCTACATCAATTTCTCTAAACCTGTTAACTATCCTAATTACTTCCTTAAAAGGTTGTTGTAAAAAATCATATAGCATATGAATTAAAAACTACTATTTAAGTGCTGGCTCAGAATAGTCCTAAAATTAAGTTGCCAGAAATACAAAAGTGCTATCACAAACCAGTTACTAGGAACTCTGATTTTTAAAAAGGCTGGAGACTAATCTCTACCTCTATCCAATCAACCAACCAATCAAATAAACCTTCCCCCTCCCAAGGTCACCCATTCTCCTCTGGGACAAGCACATTCCAACATAAGGTTTAACTTATTTCCTGAATTCCACTGGTCCTTAGCTTATTTTAGGAAATAACTTCTTTTAACAAAAATGAGATAAAACAAATCTTCCAGACAGGACACTACTCACTGTTAGTACTGATTTCTGGTTGCCACATTAATAATGGGCACAGACCAGCTGTCTCCGCAACCTATTTTAAAACCTGCACAGCTCTTCCTGTGTCCTTGATTCCTCCCATCACGCCCCTTCACTTCCCCTCTGCCCCAAGGCAATGAGTTTACCTTGGGTGATGGCCCTTATCTCAAAAGTATACTTCATTTGAATGGTTCCAAAACAAAGTGTCAGCTTTTTGGCTGCACCAAAACTCGATAAGCTCTTATTAGGCAAATTTCATGAAATACAAACAATATTTTGTTTTAGCTTTAAAAAAAACTAAGTTTGATTCCTGTAATGGCCAGCCACCCCCAAAATACAAAATACTAACAGCTTCATTTCCAAGAAACCAACTACATTCACGTTCAGTTCAACTCATCAAATCTCTTTCATGCTGTGATGGAGACTGAAAAGTTGAGAATATTTTCATTTTACCAAAGGGGATATTTTAGGCATACCTGCATGAGACTTAACACTCATGCAGTGAGGTCAAATTACAGCTTGGACATTGTCTTAAGAAGTTTGCTACACCAGGACTGATATAAACTTGTGCCCAGAAAGTAGACATTTTAATTTCAGGCTGAGGACACATATTTAAGAATGTAACTCCAGGGCCGGCCCGGTGGTGCACTGCTACAGTGCGCCGCTTGGGAGTGCGGCGGCGCTCCCGCCGAGGGTTCGGATCCCACATACAGACCGGTTCCCGCTCACTGGCTGAGCGAGGTGCGGGTGCAACACTGTGGGTTGCGATCCCGTTGCTGGTCCCGGTCCGGTACGGGCGCGACACTGAGGGTTGCGATCCGTTGCTGGACACGAAAAAAGACAAAAAGGAAAAAAAAAGAATGTAACTCCAGCTAGAACATCAGTTTTAGGGGGATATTCAACTGGGCACTAAGAGCAACAGAAAAAATAAAGACCACTCAAGAGGAAAAATGCCAAGGTAAATATAAGAAAAAGTAAGGTAGGAGCTTCCTGTTTAAGTTTAGCAACACTAATCTTTTTGGCAAAATAGCCAGCTTTCATTTTACTCTATCAAGATTTTTTTTTTTTTTTTTTTTAAAGATGACCAGTAAGGGATCTTAACCCTTGACTTGGTGTTGTCAGCACCACGCTCAGCCAGTGAGCAAACTGGCCATCCCTATATGGGATCCGAACCCGGGGCCTTGGTGTTATCAGCCAGCCCAAGATTTTTAGTCTAATTAAAATCTACTTTGAAATGCAAAAAAAGAAAAACCTCCATCTTAATATCTCAATTCATGTCTCTTTAAGTATACACTGCTATATTTGTAGTATTTACATGGGAACCTAGGGTTATCAATTATGGATCACCACAGGCAATTGCTGCCAAATGCAAAAAGTTCAGCCTTTAAAGTCAGGACAAGATGAGCCTCAATTTCCTATAGTTATAGTGCCTATAGGAAGGGTAATTTTCCCCTAACATTCCTCAGTACTTACAAAAACATCATGCCCATTGAATCCAGTCTTACCTGCTGAATGCCTCTTCTTTTTCTAGGCTAGTATGATCATAGGGATAAACATACTTTTTGCAAGTATTTTCAAACTACATAATCTAGTGGGTTCAACTCTCACTATCTGCTAAACTAGCTTAAATCAAATAGCAAACATGTTTATAGTATTGTGCCAGCTGCTGTTCTGAGTATTTTATCTTTTCAATATTAATTTTCTTAACCTCTAAAACCACAATTAGGGGCCGGCCCGTGGCTCACTTGGGAGTGTGGTGCTGATAACACCAAAGCCATGGGTTCGGATTCCTACATAGGGATGGCCGGCTGGTTAGCTCACTGGGTGAGCGTGGTACTGACAACACCAAGTCAAGGGTTAAGATCCCCTTACCAGTCATCTTTATAAGAAAAATAAAAAATAAATAAAACCACAATGATGGTATTAACCTAATTTTATAGATCAAAACACTGAGGCACAGAACAATTAAGTAGGCTAACTCTAGAGATGCTGATGATCAAACTATGTTTAAAACAAAACAAAAAACCTGCCTCCCCAGCACCCCATCCCTAGAAAACACAGAATTACTCTTGGAAATCCAACACAGCTCCCAGTACTTTTAATAGAACTTTATCACATCCCCATAATCAACTAACCATTTCAGACATATGAACTCCCACAGCTGTTTATTCACATTGCCATAAAAACAACCTATCACACCTACTCATAGACTTTTTACCTTCATGACTATTTCCTACATTTTAATCTTGCTATTCTCTCTATATCTTTTGTCTGATTCTCAGATATGTGGACCCCAAATGTGAAATTATTTTTCCTTTTACTAACATAAAGATAAGTTCCCTCATATCCTTTTTGCAGTAAATCCTCAACTCCACCCCAGGCAACCACTGACCTCCTTCCTGTCACTATATATAGACTTTTGTGGAAGTGAAACAATTTTAAATATCAACTGAAGACCAAACTAAAACAGCTGACAAAATAACTGGAAAGCATGCATGCCCTCCTCTAAAGGATAACTACAATTGCTTGTGGAGTGGCTATTCATTTTTGATGTGAAACTGTCACTTCAGAATTAAGTACAGGGTTGTTAACCAATCCCTGGCTGACAAAAGAACTCTGTTGGAAAAACGTAATAAAATTCATTTGCTATACTGGCAGTACTTGACAGAATGAATTAAGACACACCCGAACCCATTACAACAGATGTAGTACATGTAATATTTGATTTCCTTAATTATACTGAGAACTTCAATAAATAGTTGATTAAAACCAATACTAACAAAGCTCTAATCAGGGTTTATCTTCTTAGATGCTCCCAGAAGGCTTTCAGATTCCCATAAATCCCTAGCCCAGAGTACTCTCAGAAACAAATGGACAAAGGACTTCACAACTCTAAGATTGAAGTGTTCTTAAACACAGGGGTGGTGGTAACAAACTCCCTGGAAATGTGTTGAAAAAGAAGGCCCATCTTTCCACATTCTTAAAAGGAGCCCAAATCTTAATACGCAAGTGATTCACATGTAAATACAAAGCTGCCCAATTACTAGTTACTGTTAAAAGCTAAAAGTTAGGCCCCGGAAAAACTAATTCCTCAAAAAAATCTGCAAAACACAAAATACCTTTCAGGTGACAGGTTTTCTAATATACTTTGAGCCAATAAACTTAGTTCAAATGAAATGTAACTTGGAAACCCAATATTTCCAACAAATGAAAAGGTAGATGGGTAAGGGTAGGCTGATCTAGTCTTTCCTATCTCTGAGAGGTATTGGAACCCAGTCTCAGTGAAGGAGTCCTAAAAACCAGTTCAAAGTCATATCTCCAGGGGTCTATTGCTTGCAATTTTTTTTTTTTTTTTTGTCTTTTGTCTTTTTTCCGTGTCCGGCAACGGATCGCAA